CCCCAAAACCCCAAAACCCCAAAACCCCTGTAATAATACTTTATATTGAAACGTTGGCAAGTTGAAAATGGAGAGACAGGAAATAAGGTAGCTAACCCAACCGACCGCCTGCTTACTACTTGAGTTATAGATTTGAGCCTTACAATGACATTAAACAGGATTTGATCTCGGTAGATGCCACTAATGATATGATTTCGAAATACAACCAGCTCTCGGTTAATAGCATATCGATAAATAAAAGTAAATTATCGTATAAATTTTAGGAAGAAGGAAATCTCAAAATAAGACTAAGTTACTTCACTCCAAATCTGCATTTAAAATGATGAGGGTAGGTTTGACACTTTCTGACAGAAAAAACTACATCAACTGCACTTTGAATTCTGGGTATTTCATTCGTTATATTTGATTAATCAGTTTTTAATGCTTGATTAGAATAACACCAAGCCGTATCCGGTCAATATGAGTATGGTCCAGAAGTCGCCTAAAGAGAGCAAATAATGCTTCAAAGTAAGAGACTATTGTAAATTTTTACTAAAAATAGATGAAAAGAAAGTATTTGCAGCACCCAAACTTTACAATGAGTAAATTTTAGAAAAAAGAAGTACTCCAGATCAAAAATACCTCAACTAGAGAACGACATGATCAAAATTGTTATCCAAAAGGATGCCTGATGTAAAGGAAGGAATAACTGAAGAACTCCGACCGGTAGGGCAATAACAGGTCTTAAAAAGGCTCATACAGCTTCAATAATTAGCAAGAATATTCATAACAAAGATAGGGATGTCCTTAAGTACCTCAATTCTGCAGCTTACCATTGAGATGCTAAGAGCTCTTTTAAACTGGAAGGTCGGACTATTCTTGAGAGTCGGAGTAGTTTTATGAACCGTATAAAATCCACTAAGAAGGTCCTCAACTATGACGAGATCAAAAGAGAGCAGATCCTACAAGAATCCAAGAACCAAGCTAAAAGACAAATATCCTTGTTTACTCTCAGCACACATAAAGCTCAGAGTCGTTCTAATTCCATCTGTAAAAGTAGGAGAAAGAGTAAATCTTCTATAAATCAGCACAAAAGTGTTTATTCAAAGGAAGCCAAGCCCTCTGATCTTAAGAAACTTGGAATTTTTGAAGAGGCAAAAACGACCAAATCTCGAAATTCCAAGTACAAAAAGAGCCTTAAAAACTGGAGTTTTGATAATGAATACAACATGTTTACTAACTCTGACAGGAAAAGAATTGAGCAAAAGGTTAAAGGTAAAATGCAAGATTGATTATTTAGGAAAGCCTTTTTGGCAATCTCGGTTAAATATGAGTCGGAAATCAGCCCAGTTCACCACATTCTACATCCAGGGTACTCCGCATAAGACTTTTATTAAAAATAAACGAGCTCTTGAGCAACCTTCGCCTACAAAACTAAATTTGCTGACAAAGCAGAGTATAATAGTCGAGAAGCCGAGGGATATTAAGAACAAGGACCTTGTTGATTTCTGAAATGATTGTCCAAGTTTCAGCTCATAAATGTCAGACTTCAAGATTGAGAGTAAACTAGTATCAAGTTGTCAGAAGAGTTCAGTTTTGGCTAACTTCATATAATAACTTATCAATTAAGTTATAATTAACAGGGGTTTTGGGGTTTTGGGGTTTTGGGG